CCCTCTCTCCCTCTCACCATTCTCTCTCCATCCTCTCTTTACGTACACACACCCACACACACACACACACACACACCTGAGTGAATATAAATTGCTACAAACTCATAGAAACCTTTATGAAACAAAAACATCAAAATGTGAAAGTATTGTTTCCTACGTATTGGACATTGAATAAGGAAGACGGAAGACGGATGGAGGCATGTGAGTGGTGGTGCTGGAGACGAAGACTGAAAGTCCCATGACTGTGAGAAGGACACACTGATCTGTGTTGGAAGAAGTAAGCCTCAAGGGCTCCTTAGAGGCAAGGATGGCGAGACTTCGTCTTGCAGACTTCGGACATATTGTCAGGAGAGATTTCCATTTTCTCAATAAGTCCCTATGATAGTCCTATGTCCCTCAAGAAAAATCTACTAAGAGTATCCCTTTGGAATCCCTAGAAAGTCACCACACTCTTTGGAGCTGACCTCTTTGCCTGGAATTTAATGGGCCCCGCAGATCCTCGTGAGATTCCCCCTTCTGACTGAAACACTTTTGAAGACAACCTAATGAGGTTTAGAAAAGTGTATTACTGAGGGAACTGGTCTGCAGCCATCCATTGATTGGAGAGACCTGTTTAAACATGCCTTGTTTGCAGTAAGTCCATACATGCATGAACTTGAACCCTACTAGGAATAATTTTGAGTTACTCTCATATAGTCAAAAAAACTCAGTGCACAGAAAAATCCAGTTTGCCCATGAACTTTTTGAAGTCTCTTATACATATATGTATCTGTATATTTTTCTCTTTATTTGCTAGCCTTACCATATATCTTTCATCTAATTTACACATATTCATCATAGCTCTTTGAAAAACTGTGTCTAGTAACTCAAACATTTGGTGTTTCAGCAGGTATCTGTAATTCTAAATTTAGATATAATTCATAACACAATGTAATTTAAAATAAAAATAGTCGATTGTATATTTCAGAGTTTAGACAAATATATACAATTATTTGAAGGGGCTTCAAAACATTGATGGAAAAAATGCCATTACCTCTCAATTCCACTATTTTTTTCATGAACTTTTTGAGCCCTCTTAAAAAACCATGACCCCAACCAAGATGGAGAATGTTTCCATCACACTGGTAAATCCCCTCATGTCCAATTTCAGCCAGTAATATTCATACCACCTCAAAGGAAACCACATCTTGGATATTTACCATACTTTCAATCTATAGCATACCTTTGCTAGTTTTAGAATTTAACAAAATAAAATATTCTATTAACAGTTATGAAAAAATTAATATAGGTATTGTTTTGTGTCTTGATTCTTTTGCTTGACATTTTGTTGAGGTCTATATCTTGTTATGTGAATCAATAGCTCACCTATTTTTTCTTGTGAGTTGCCATTCCATTCCGTAAATATACAGTACCGCAATCTATTCTTCTATTCACTAATTAATGTATATTTGGAAGTTTTCCAGTTTGGGGCTTTTATTTATAAAGCTGCTATGAAGATTCTTGCATAAGTACTTTTTGGATTTTTTTTTCATTTTATCTGGAATCAGATATTTAGATTCTAGGGTAAAAGTATTTTTTACTTCATAAGAAATTGCCGTACTGGTTTTGCAAAGCGGGCATATGTCATTTTACATCGCCGTCACTGCTCCTCACCTTGTCAACATGTGATGTTGTCAGTCTTTGTCATTTTAACCGCCCGAGTGTTTTTAGTGTGATGTACACGTTTTTATGCATTCTCCTGATAAAAATATCGTTAAAGATCATTTCATGTATCCATGAACATTTATGCATATTCTTTGGCAAATGTCTTAAATTAGGTTGTCTGTCTTCTTATTGGAGTGGTAGAAGTTCTTCATGGTCTTCAGTACAGATCGTTGGTCAGGTAAATATGTACGAGTCAGCTTCAAAAAGTTCATTGGAAACGGAATTAAACGATAACGGGATTTCCCCCTAACTTTGCGCAGCTTCCTTGCATATAGAGGATTTTCTCTGAGTCTACGATGTGCTTTCTAATTTTCTTGAAGATCAAAAGTTTCTAATATTGAGGAAGTTCAATTTATTAGATTTTTTCTTTACTCTTGTTGCTTTTTGTGAATCAGCACTAAAAAAATTTCTACCTACAAAAGAATGCAAACATAATGTTGTAATTTATTCTAAGACCTTAATATATTTTTGTAATATTTATTTTATTGGGGGGCTCTTAAAGCTCTTACCACCATCCATACATATATCCATAGTGTCAAACACATCTGTACATATGCTGTCATCATCTTTTTCAAAGCATTTTCTTTCTACTTGAGCCCTTGGTATCGGCTCCTCATTTCTTCCCTCCCTCCCCTAGGTCCCCTTGATAATTTATAAATTGTTCTCTTTTTTCCATGTCTTATACCAACTGCTGTCTCCTTTCACCCAGTTTTCTGCTGTCCGTCCCCCTGGGAATTGGGGGGGGGGAAGCATACGTTGAGTATTGTGATCGGTTGCTCCTTACTCCCCCACACCCTTCCCTTCCCCTCCTCTTATTGCTGCTCCCCTTATTGGTCCTGGAGGTGGGGCAGGTTATCTGTTGTGGATTCCCTGTGTTGTGAGCTCTTATCTGTACCAGTATAGATGTTCTGGTAAGATCTTTATATTTTTAACTTTTACATTTAGGTCCATGATAAACTTGAAATTAATTCTCTGCAATTACACTCTGTAATAAATCAAATTTTCATACATTTGGGCCATTTTTAGGATCTCTATAGCGTTCCATTAATTTATTTTTCATTTCTTTTGCCAAGACAACATTATCTTAATTATGATAGAATATTAATCAGTCTTGATATCTTGGGTATGAATTTCTCCACTTTGTTCTTCTTTAGTAGTTAGTAACCTGGCTATTCTTGGTCCTTTATTCTTACATAAAAATTCTGTAATTATTTCTTACATTAACATTTCAACTTAGAGATTCTTGCAGTATGCAGTTAGTGCAAAGATGAGAGCAATTCAAAAAGTTCATGGAAAAATTCATTCTCTGTAGTTCCATTTTTTTCTATGAATATTTGAAGCCCCCTCATCTGTACTCAAAACTCGCTTGAGCTCCTGTTTGAATTTTTAAAAAAAGAAACACATAAAGAATCTGTTCACAGAATTCAGTTTAAAACAAAGTTTCTTTATTGTTTCCCTGCATCGTTGAATACATTTTTCTAGTGCTCTCTTACATTGAGGGTATAGATAGCTCTTTTGTGGTATTGAATTTATGGGAAGGGCATGTGTATAAGTGTTTTGTGGCTGATGTAACAAATTACTTCCAACTTAGTGGCTTAAAACAACACAACTTTACTATCTGCGAGCTCTGGACCTATAAGAAGCTCATCCAGAAGTCTGAAATTGGTTGTATTGGGCTCAAGTCAAAGTGTCAGCCAGGTGCCACTGCTTCTGGGCGGGGGGGGACATTTTACTTGCTTTTTCCAGTCCTAGAGACACATGCCTAGCATTTTTGAGTTCATAGCTTCTTCCTCCATTTTCATAGCCAACAACGTAACATCTTTAAATAGCTCCTGCTTCTGTCAGACCATGTTCTTCTCTGTAGTCAAATCATCTTCTGCCTCCTTCTTATAACACCATTCATACCTGCATTTAGAGTTCACTGGGATAATGTAGGATAATCTCTCCATCCTATTACTTTTAATTACACTTGCAAAATCAATCTCTTTTGCCATATAAGGTAACCTTCACAGGTTTTGGAGTTTAGTACTCTGACTATTGTGGGAGGGGTCCACTACTGAGCCTGCCACAGCCCTATGCTAACTCGACTTCAGTTAGGCTAACGCTTTCTTGTGTGACCTTAAAATCCATTCACCTACCTTCCTGCTACTACAGTATTAGTTCCTGTGATTGATACTCTATTTTTCAATTTTTCTGCTTGTCCTTATTTTTCTCACATTTGTACAGGAAGAATTTTCAGGATATGGAGTTTGCTAGATTTTAAAGAACCGACATCTTTAACTCACTTGCATATAGCTTCTGCTCCCCCACCCCCACCCCACCCCCCCACACCTTAACTAGAACTTGTTGAGAATGCTAACAAGCAAGCCTATCACAATAACCAGCGGTCAGTTTCTGTTTGCATCTCCAATTCAGAGTAGAAATCAACCCAGATGAGTAATCCTTGTCTCTAGAAACATTGTCCTGTCTTGGCTTCCATGAAATCATACCCTTCTGGGTTTTTGTTTGTTTTCTATTTCACAGATCACCCATTCTCTTCCTCAAGAGATCATCCTTTGTCTGACCTGAAATTCTGCTTATTTGTGAAACAGCATTGCCTAACTACACAGTACAGCTTCAGGAGATTGGTAGGCATATGCGTACACAGTACGTCTGAGAATGTCTTGTTCATTAGTCTGAAAGAGTTCATTAATATCTATCTCCTATCTTACATTGAGAAGAATAGAATGAAAATGTTGCCTAAGTTTCCATGGGAAACATGCTAATGATATGCAAGTCCTTCCTAGACATCACCTAATTCATACTGAAGAAAAATCTTCTGATGCAGTTAACTATTGAAAAGCTCTCCAAACTTATAGTCTTTATTAAAGGTCATATAACCCATGCTTCCCCCAAAAGCTGAAGGAGCAGCAGCAAATTCAGAAGCTCGTACCAACAATCAAATGTAACAGCCCCAAACCAGGTTTGGGTTATCCAAGTAGTTCCTCACCCTATCCCTTCTTCAGCTCTGCCCACTGATCTCCCCTCTGCCTCACAGAAGAATCAGCACCTCCCAAGATCCTGGGGCAAACTTGACTGAAACAGGAGAGCATTGCAAAGCTTGTCTTTTCCTCCTTCCTCATTAAGAAGTCAGATAGCTGAGTCCCAGGATCTGAAAGCATATCCATAACTGATGGGCTCAAGTGTTGCTTCTCTGATCTTCAGGGATTGTTTTCCAAGGTCCTCCCTTCTAATCTGGCTGCCCTGGTAAAGCTTTGCCAATGTCCCTCTCCAGTGTTCCGTAACCCCAAACTCACCAAAGACGGTGCGAGCAGGGACAGACTCTCTGTTGAGCCAGAAAGACACCTGTGACAGAATGACAGTCATAATACAGGGCAGGTAGGTCTGGATCACAAAGTAGCCAATTTTCCTTTTGAGATGGAAGTGGGTTGTCATGACAACATATTCTCCTGGAAAGAGAGAGAGTTGAATTAAGTAGGATGTTGCCTGATAAACCATTGTTAGATCAAATTAGACTACAATTCAGCTTACAAAGCTCCTCAACCTTATATTCAAAACAAGATATCCATCCACCTCTCGAATCTATGTCACCATATCTCTTTAGTAATTATGAATCAGTGTGATTTTTTCTGTGAAAAATATATTATTAACAGTGTAACAACATAGAGCAACTCTGACACAAACGCATTCAAATAAATTAATGTTCTCATTTAATTAATTATATGCAACAGCAATCTCTTCTCTAGTACTTAGTATGCCATAGGCACTCACCTAGCATTTTATATTCTTAAAATACGTAGCCTTCACAACAATCCTATGAGATTGTATTTTTATCAGCTTATATGTCAAAAAACTGAAGCAAAGAGAGTCTGATTAACTTGCTCAAAGTCACCAAGCTAGTAAATAGTGGAGTCCGAATTCAGCCCCAGGCAGGGTGGTTCCATAGCTTATGCTTTCCACCAGTATGTTCTACAGTTTCAAAGGACAGCTGTGGTTAGAATCAAAAGTTCACATAGGAGAATGTGGACTGACCTCCATCACCCTTCTCCCTAAATAAGCATATGGTGGCAATCTTCCAAAATGAACACTTCTACTAGATGCCAGATAATTTTAAGTGTTGTTGGAGTATTAACTTTATATCCACAAAACAGTCCTAGGAGGATGTTGTTAGGTGCTCTTGATTCAGTTGCAACTTACAGGAATACTGTGCACAATAGACCATAACACTGCCCGGTCCTTCAAATTGTTATGGCTGAGCGCATTGTTGAAGCCACTGTGTGAAACCATCTTGTTGAGGGCTTCCTCTTTTTTCAGTGCCCCTCTTTGCCAAACATGATGTCGTTTTCCAGGGGCTGGCCTCTCCTGATGACATGTCCAGGGTCGGTGAGATGAAGTTTCACCATCCTTGCGTTTAAGGAGTATTTTGGCTAACTCTCTTCCAAGACAGATTTGTTTGTTCCTCTGGCAGTCCATGGGACTTTCAATATTCATCTTCATCACCATAATTCAAATGCAATAATTCTTCTCTGTTCTTCCTTATTCATTGACCAGCTTTCACATGCATATGAGGCAACAGAAAATTCCATACGTCAGGTGCACATTCATCTTCAAAGTGACATCCTTGCTCTTCAACATTTTAAAGAGGTCCGTTCAACAGTTTGTCCAATGCAATGTATCACTTATTTTTTTTACCGTTGCTTCCACGAGCACTGATTGTATGTCCAAGTAAAATGAAATATTTGACAACTTTGATCTTTTACCCGTTTTTCATGATGTTATCTATTGATCCAGTTGTAAGAATGTTGCTTTACATTGAGGTGTAGTCCATAATGAAGGATGTGATCTTTGATCTCCATCAATAAATGCTTTATGTTCTTCGAGCATGTGTCACATGCATACCAAGGTTTGTTAATGAGACTTCCTCTAAGCCTGATGCCACGTTCTTTTTCATATAGATTATTTGCTCAGCATACAGGTTAAATAAGAACGGTGAAAGACTACGACCGTGAGGCACACTTTTCCTGATTTTATTCCCTTGTTCTGTTCATACAACAGTCTCTTTATCCATGTATAAGTTGTGCATGAGCACAGTGAACTGTTCTGGAATTCCCATTTTTCTCAAGACTATCTCCATAGTTTGTTATAATCCACATAGTTGAATGCCTTTGCATAGTCAATAAAGCACCTGTGAACATCTTTCTGATATTCATTGCTTTCGGCCAAGATCCATCTGACATCAGCAATAATATTGCCCATTTCATGCCCCCGTGTGAATCCATCTTGAATTTCTAGCATCTCCCTGTCGCCCACTGCCATTGAGTTGATTCAAATCATATAGACCCTATAGGAGTCTTCATTTCTCAATATAATGAAAGCAAACAATCCTGACAACTGGACCAATCAGTAGCATCATGATGAACTGAGAAAATATTATAGTTGTCAAGGATTTTGTCTTGCTTGGGTCCACAATCAATGCTCATGGAAGCAGTAGTCAAGAGATCAAAGGACACATTGATTGGGTAAAATCAGCTGCACAAAACCTATTTGGTGTTGAAAAGCAAGGACCTAACCACCACCACCACCACCACCACCACCACCACCACCACCACCACCACCACCACCACCACCACCACCACCATGTCAATGCACTGCTGCAACTGTTTTTAAAATATCTTCTAAACATTTTACTTGTATGTGAAACTAATGATGTTGCTCAGTAATTTCCACTTTCATTTGGGTCACCTTTCTTTCGAATGGGCACACATATGGATTTATTACAGTCAATCAGCCAGCTAGCTGTTTTCCAAATTCGTGGACTGGACTAGTGAGTGCTTCCAGCCCTGCCTCATTATGTTCAAGCACATCAATTGTCATTCCCTCCATTCCTGGGGCTTTGTTGGTAGGCAGTGCCTTCAGTGTAACTTGAACTTCTTCCTTCAATACCATCAGTCCTTAATCATGTGCTACCTCTGGAAATAGTAGAACATCGACCAATTCTTTTTGGCACAATCCTCTTGTGTCTGCCTTTATCTTCTTTTGATGCTTCCTAACCTGCTCAATAGTTTGCTGATAGAATCCTTCAAGAGTACAGCCAGGCCTTGGGTTTGTTTTTCTTCAGCTCTTTCAGTTTGAGATGTGCTTTAGGTTTTGTACCTGTATGTGTTGCATATTTCATTATAATAGTTTATTTTGTCTTCTAGAATTGCCTTATGACAGTTTCTTTTTCTTTTCAAAACTATTTTCTTGGAAGGTAATACAGATATCATACCATCCCATAGCTCAATCACCTCAAACAGTATTGTACAATTGCTACCACACTCTGTTTGAAAACATTTTCTTCCTTCTTAAACTCCTTTATTTCAGCTCTCCTTTATCCGCAACCCCGCCTCCCCAGTGTACTTCCCAGGAACCCTTTTTTCTGACTGAAGAAGTTGGAAGAATTCTTCAAAATCTTTAGTGGTTGGTGCATACATCTTAATAACAGTTGTATTAACTGGCCTTTCTTGTAGGTGAATTGATATTATCTCATCACAGGCAACATTTTGCTTCAAGGTAGATTTTGAAATGGTCCTTTTAATGATATATACAACACAATTCCTCTTCAATTTATCATTCCCAGAATAGTAAACCATATGACTGTCTGACTCATAATAACCAATACTATTCCAGCTCACTAATGCCTAGGGAATCATTCTTTATTCTTATTTTGATAACTTATAATATTTGTATATTTAAACTTCATTCACCCCATGTTCCTATCATTAATGAAAGGAGCCCTGGTGGTGGAGTGGCTACACACTAGGTAGTGATCTACAAGGTCAGCAGTAAAGTTACAGTCTCAGAAACTCACAGGGTCCTATAGGGTCACTAGGAGTCAGCATTGACTTAATGGCAGTGAGTTTGTTTTGTTTGTTTGTTGAGTTATTATGAATGGATATTTGCAGCTTTTTCATCTCATTTTGAGTTTTTCTCCATCAAAAAAAGAAGGCCTTGGAAACGTTATTCCATCCATGTCATTAAGATTGATCCCACTGTGAGTGGGCAGCTCTTGCTCGTCTTATTTGGAGTGCCTTCTATCCGGAGCGGCGCATCTGCCGGCACTATATCAGACCACGTACTGCTGCTATTCAGAAGGTTTGCAGTAGCCGGTTTTCCAAAAGTGAATCATCTCTTCCTTTTTTCTAGTCTATTCTTAGCCTGGAAGCTCTGCTGGAACCTCTTCACTTTGGATGACCTGGCTGGTGTTTGAAATAGCGATGACATACCTCCAGGAAGCCACCACAAGCCACCACAATATGACAAGCCAACACACAAGGGGCAGGTATCAATTATTATCCAATATTTCCACATCCAATGGTCTAGTCTCAGTCTTACTGAAGGAATTAGCAGCATTTTACACAGCTGTGCGCTCCTTTCTTCTGGGATCATGATCTTCAGGGAGCTTTGTGGACAAAACACTGTGCTTTTCTGTGCTACTTCATTAACCTCTCCTTCCTAGTTCCGTTTGCTGGTTTCAGTTCCATTCGAAACATTAGAGGCCCTTCAAGTTCAGTCCTTGTATCTCTTTTCTTTTCTGGCTCACGAACTCTCACAGTATTCTTACCCAGCCTGTGTCTTTAAGTAATATTTTAAACGCTGGCAACTGCCAAATGCCTGAACTCCCCACTCAACTCCAGACTTGTATATTTATCTACCTACTAGATATCACCACTTGGAGAGCTAATAAGCATCTGGATGCAATGTATTCAAATTGGAGCTTTTGCTCTCTCTATCTTCCCATGTCCATCCAACTAGATCTTTCTACAGACTTCTTCAGCTCAGAAATAGTATCATTCAAGAGTTGAAGCCCAATTCTTCAAATTCCTTAGCATTCTCTCTCTCTCTCTCTCTCTCTCTGTCACACACACACACACACACACACACACAGACACACACACACACACACAATCAATGTGAAAACTCGGCTAACTCTTTTTCAAAATATATCCACAAGTGAACCACTTCGCACAACTTCCACGCTGATCACAGCCATCACCACCTCTCACCCAGGGTATTCGCAGGATTTCCTATGGTATCGATCTCGCTTCAATGCATTCTTAGCACAGCATTCGGAGAAACCCTAGAGAGTTCCGAGTCAGAGGCTCTCCTTTGCTCGTGACCCTTTCATGGTTTCCTTTCTCCAAAATAGTAACAGCCCAAATTCCTAAAACAGTCCGCAGAGATCCATGTAATCTGATCCCTTTTTTACCTTTCTGATCAGAATTCCTGATTTTTCACCTTTCCCACTCCACCCACTTTTGGTTTTGACAGGTTCCCCAAATGAGGCCATTTCCCAATTTCCTACCCTGCCCACTCCCCTTGTACCTAGGAAACACCATCTGGTCACCCAAAGCTCCATATACAATTCACATTGGTCAGGAATTCACAGCCTATCTTGTTTATGTGAGCA